CTCAGGTGAGCGCCCGGTTCCCCGGGACAGCAACTGCCGACCTCCGGCGGGCCAGGGCTGCGCTGCGCTGCGCTGCGCTGCGGGCACAGCCGGACGCCGTCCGGGGCAGGAAGGCCGCGCGCTGCCCCTGCGTCGGCCTGGGTGAGGCACGAGCTGGCCCCGCGCTTCGTGCCCCGGCTCTGAGGGGCTGCTGAGTACACGTCGCTTGACTTTAGGGGACGGCTGAAGAGAAAGCAGGGATGGGGAAGAGGCCAGGCGCCCCGCCGGCTAGCCCCCACGGGCCCTGCGAGGGGCCTGCCCCGTGAAACTCAGCCCCGAGTCGCCAAGGGACAAGGGCTGGTGAATGGTCCCACGGGTCCCAGCCAGACCCTCTGCTCCTGCACAGGACACTGGAGCCCCTTGGACTTCAGACCTGGCTTAGGATGAACTACTGCAGGTCTGGGCGCCAAACTTCCCCTCACTTATGTAGCTGGAAAGGCAAGAGTTTTGTTTTTTTTTTGGTTTTTAGACGTGCTATCCCCATTAAAAGAACCAGCGCTATCCTTTGGAAGTGGATCTCTATCAGGTTATTTAAAAATACTTCCTCCCCCCAACCCTGTATTTTATTGTTTTAAACACCTGGGAAGAAATCAGTGTGTATGCTGTGCCTTACACTATAAGAGTTGAAAGCAGTTAATTGGCCAGCTCTATGCCTGTTGAAGTCAATGGGCGTTTGGCCACTGATTTTATAGCACTGTCTGCTGGGATGGTTAAAACGGCAGCCTCAAGTTTGGATTAATAGGGTGCGTCAGTGCTGTTATTTGAGATAATATACAGCTATAAAGGGCTTCCAGCCTTCCTAAGGAGAATTCTTCTCTTCACAAGAACACAGTGTTCTTGAAATCAATTCTGACTGGCTGGGTTATGAAAGGAAGGCTGTGGTGTTACTTGGTAGTGGGGTATTAAAACAACAATAATTTGCCTTATCTGAACCATTTCCTTGTATAGACTATGGTTTTCATCCAGGGAATTAATCAGCATAGCAAAACGTTTAACACCTATTCACATTTTAATTCCAGATCTTTTAGATCTGTTAAAAGATTGCAATCTTAAAAGAATAGCAGAGGTTAGCCAGCAGCAAATGCAAAAGGGAGACCAAAAATCCTTCTGAGTTTAGGAAAAGCAAGATAAACCAGTGATCCTTAGGTAATGAAATCTGTGTAGTAAAGTCCTTGGCCTTTCCAAAGATTTCATTGTTTTGTTTTGTTTTCTTGGTGTGAAAAAGGATGCAAAACTCGGCTCTTCGTACAACAAAAAAGACTTAAGAAAAGTAAGTTTTCTGAAGTTCTGACAAAAGTGTGAGGGAACTCAGCAGTTTTACAGCATTGCAAAACTTCTAACATGCAGTTCACTTCCAGGGCTCATGCTAAAATAAAAACCTGTGGGTGATGAAGATGCATGAAAAATATTACACTAATCTAATGCCACTCTTTGGTAATCTGATCTGCTCAAAGTTTTGCTATAGTATGTGGTGATTACAACTGTGTATTTACTAGACCCTCATGCTTACTCTCACTTTGGAATTTAAACATATACCGTTTTCAAATACATTATGACTTTCATATAATTAGTATTGTTTGTATGAAGCAATAAAAAAAGAAAAAAAGAGATGTGAGGAATACATGCCTGTTCCTCTTATGCCAGTATTCCAAATTGGGTTAAAAAACTGGGTGGGTCAAAAATTAATTAAAACTGGGCAACTAATTATTCATTTATCTAGAAATGAAAAAGGGAATATATGATATTTCTGGTCCAGTCTAATGTATTTTCAGACCCTCAGCGTATATTTAAATAATATATTTGCTATGTATTTTTCAAAAGTGAAAAGCAAAATATTTTTTCTTGGGGTATGATCCTACTCTATCTGAGACAGATGTGATTTTAAAAACCAAAGTTAAAATTATTTTCTCTTTAAATGTTCATGTACGTATGTGTACGTGAAGATTTTGGTGAAATCTTGCAAACCCTTAATCACGTAAATAGTTTCTATTCACAATGCCACTAATTCCAATGACTATATTGCCCTATGTGAGCAGGATTGGACTAAGTAAACATTTAAAATGTCAATCATTAAAACATTAAAGATAATTTAAGTTTAATTTTATAGCCTTTAAAATAACCGAATATGGACTCAGTGGTGCAAAAAAGAAAGGATGCATATTTCCCTTTATTTTATGTAGAGATTATTTTTACAACAACAAAAATAAATGTAGGAAATGATTTTATTTAAAGGTGCCAGTGGAGAAGGCAGATTCTTTAAGGCTCACCTCATTTTTATTTAAAAGAAACCAGGCACTCAGGAATTTCCAATCTTGATAATGATGCTTGCACAATAATTTTTAACTCTGGCCAGTAGTGCAAAGGGACTGCGCTCATGAAATTAGGCTCCTTGCAGGGGAACATCTTGCAGAGTCAATCCCTCCACATGGTTGTGGCTCTGATTTGTAGTGGGAAAATTGAACTGAAGGCTCAGCCCCTTACACTAGAGATGCTGCGGTTAATCTGACATATTATAATTTATTAACTCAGGAAAAAAGCAGTTTATGCTAAAATAAAGGATATGCCATGAATGTATAGAGAGAATTTGATCTAATTCAGGCTGAAGCCACTGACTTGTAGGAGATGCCCTGAACTTCCATAAATGAAAGCTAGAAACTGGTGCTTACAGCCAGATTCTGCAGCACATACTCATGCCAGGACTCTTTTCTCATTGGAGTAATCCCAATGATGCTCCTCACTTGATGAGCCTTTGTGGGGAAGATTTTTATGATCAAGTCTGTATGTTGTTTTTCTTGTTGATGGAATAATAAGGAATGTTGCCAGAGTAAGGACTGTAGGACTGGGTAAAAGTGAGGGTGAGTTATCGATATTTAATTATTTAATCTTTTGTGAAGTCAGTGGAACATTTAGTTTTTCCATTTAAAAAGTTACATGCTTGGATAATATCGCAGTGCTTGCTACAAGAATTTTGCATAGTTGCATAGTAAATGTATATGAAAGCATTACTGTATATGCCAGCAAGATAAGTCTTAAGTCAAGATTTTCGAGAGTGGCGAGTGACTTTAAATGCCCAAACATTTGGATGCCCAGTGACGGGGCCCATTAAAAGGGACATGATCTTCAATAAGTGCTGAGCATCCAGCCTTGGATCCTTTCAAGTTTTTTCAAGTTGGGATCCTACAACAGGGGTGGGCAATTATTTCGGGTGGAGGGCCGCTTACTGAGTTTTGGCTAGAGCCATTGAGGGCTGCATGACAGGCAGCCAGGGGACTGTTATGACTCTGTGCTTATAAATACTTTTGTGCCATTCAAGAGCTAGTGTTACTGTAGCATGATATTTTGGTGTTATGGATTGTTTGTTAACACAAAGCGCACTTTCCATAAAAGGGGACTGTGACAGTGGATTCAATACCACATTGCTTGTGCATCCAAAACTTCCTCCGAGTCCTGTGGGAGTTTTAGAGAAGCAAGAAATGCAAAATCAGGCTGGAAACTGACAAAATGAATAAACTCTTCTACAGCTCTGAAAGTAGCAAACATCTGCAATTTCCATCTTGTTTGAATTAAAATCCTGAATTTTGTGTGATCCTTAAAACTTCCACAGATACTGGTAAAGGACACGGGAAGAGAGATCCTTTATCTCTGAGGTCTGTTCATGTCAAGTTCTAGATGCATGAGAGCTCAGTAATTGCTTGCATGACTGTGACTTTTTTATATTCCTGTTTTATCATGTTACTTTTCATTTCCATGAACTGTTCCATAGTTCAAAGTTTCTCTTTAGAGTGGTTTCAGTAGAACTGTTCATATGATGACTACCTACATTTGTGAGGAAAATTTGTGTGATCCAGCCTGTGTTTTCTTGTTGATGGAGCTAAAAAGGGATGGAGGTTTTTGTCAGTGTACTGGAGTAAAAATGACTCTGTATTGTAAATGCATAGGGTGGTGTCTAGCTTTATCTTTCATTTTTTATTTACTTTAATAAGTCCAAAAAGTCCTTGGTGAAAACCTGGATGATGAACATTCATCCACAAAATATTACCCTGAGAGGTGACGCATGATGAAATCTTGAAAGAAAGATTCCTTTGCTGGCTGTCATAATCATTGTACTAGTTATTTATTTCTATGACCAAACTATATTTTTTTCAGTTTGCTTTATAATATTTTTATTTTTAATCATATTCAAACAGATGCCAAAAAATTAAAACAAACACAATGGGATTCTGTGATAGTACAAGTTCATTTTGTTCCATTGGTTTCAGTGGAGTCAGGTTAAATTATACCAGCTGAGAATCTGTAATCTGTTTTATCAAGACTGCTAAAAGTAACACATTTTTACTTTGGGATCTAACTATAGCCACTTGCAGTTGAATTCTGTTCTCATATACTCTAGAACAGGGGTAGGCAACATTTTTGGGCACAGTGCCAAAAAAACCTCCTCAACTTCAACTTGTAAGATGTTGGTATACCAGGGGCAGATGGCGGGGGAGCCTCAAGGGGCCTGCTCCTTGTTGTTGCAGGGCAACCCTGGCCTCTTCCTTGCTGTCTACCCCAAGGTGCATGTGTACCTGCCACTGGGAATGAGCTGAGCTGGAGCTCTGTGGACCCTGGTGCAGCTGCTTGCAGCCTTCCCACCACCTGCTATGAGCAGCCTGGGCTCTGTGGCAGGCGGCAAGGGCCTGCTGAGAGCTGGGGTTGGTTGTGGGAAGGCGAGC